TATATATATATATATATATATGTTTATATATATATTGATATATATCATATTTTTTATATGTACTTAAAACGTTTTTAAGATTCTTCTTTTGCATGGGATAATATATATATGAAAATAAATTAACAAGAAAAAACCATTTAAGGGTAGCTTAAATAAATAAAAAGTAAATTAAACTAACGAAAACTTAATTTTAATAATTATTTACAGCGAATAAATAAACAACATGAATATAAACTACACAGACACAGACACAGATCAGCATAATTATAATATAAACACACACACTCAAACAGACACCCAGCTCACACACATAGCCATTACAAAATGTTGGAAATTGTTGTCCGAATCTCAGTTCGAAATTCCGAATATGCCCTCCACTCACCCACACACATCACACACAGAAAATAATGCGAAAACGGATAAAACTCTCTTGAAATTAGAGAGCAGTATGTAAAATTACCAAACGAGTATTAATAGCTTAAATATGCATAGAGTCTCTGTATAAAATTCCAACTATACTAGAAAACGGTAATCCATTTCGAATATATGTATATGTATATGTATATGTGTGTAATCGCTGATTGGCTTTCGAGTTCAATAAAGCGATTGTTTTCTAGAAGTATATATATATATCTATAAATAGTTATTTGTTAGTAAATCAAATAAGAAAACTGGAAACGCTTGTTGTGGTAATTAAGAAAAAAACAGAAACAAAAATATACCAAAAAAATTGAGAAAAAATAAATAAAACGAAAAAAAATCTATATATATATATATAAATAATTAAATATATATATATAAACAAATATCTCATATGATAATCTACATATTAGAAAACAAAACTTGGTATACTGTAAAAAATTAAACTAAAGCACAACACTTATAATACATAGTACATATATATATACATATACACGTATATATATATACATATAAATAAACAATAAAAAGAAAATAAATTAATGTTTATAACAATAACAAACGAACAGCATAAACAATTTTAAATGTTTCTTGCAAACTCTGATCAACAAATTGAAATTAAAAACGAAACAAAAAAAAAAACATTTCAATATGCAAAATAAAATCTATGAAAACCGATTTGACACGATTCTGCGAGTTAATTCTCGTTCTCTTCTTTGATTAGGAAAATACTGGGAAAATGGCATACTTATTATGTACATACATATATTAAAACATTTGAGTAAATGGTAATGTATAATGATGTATACGGATGTACCTATGATATATATAAATATATATTACCCATATGGGATTCTTAGAGGCAAGATAAGTGGCGAGAGCTCTGATCGCTTGCTAAAATAGACGAGTCCGAATCGGAACCAATGTCGCAGGTATAATCAGAGTTACCTAGACAAATGGAATGGAAATGAATGCAAACAGAATGTGAATAAGTGAGGGACGCAAAACGAGATCTCTACTCGGAGTCGGAATAGTAGAATTCAAAGTAAAGTGCATATGGAATAGAAATAAATGCGTAAGGAGAAGAGAATAAGCAGGAGAAGCGAGAGGTG